CTGGGGCTTCGTCTGACACACTTTGGGCATGTTGCAAGGAGGGACAGGCCCTTGGAGAGGGACATCATGTTTGGGATGGTGGAGGGATGGCGCAAGAGGGAAGACCCCTATGAGATGTATTGATTCAGTGACTGGGGTAATCAGGATGGGTGTGTCAGAGGTAATGCAATTGGCACACGATACAGCAGGGTTTAGGGCTGTTGTAGATAGGGTCTCTATGAGTCGCAAACGACTCGACGGCACACAACAACAACAACAACAGGTAATAAAAGCCAAACCTAGGAGAACACATTTAAATCACAAGAAAGTGAGCTCACACAGTCTATGCGCAATTGGACAAAGGATGCTTTTATTGATTCTCAACAGCCGTCATGTGCAAGTGTGGGAATAAGAGGTTGTCAAAATAAAGAACGTAACATGACACCACAATTCTCCAAGAATTCCAGTTCTTACTTTGACAGGAAACATTACATAATAAACACTTAAAGAATCTATTCAATTATGTCCCTTAGCTTTTACAACTCCTAATTGCAAACTGGAATTTTAGTAACAGAACAAAGAATTCTGCCTGGTTGGTCACATTATTCATTACTTAAAGGGAAAATCAATGACAGGGGAAAAGAAAACAAAAACACCACAACACACACAGAAATAAATAATTTACTTAAAGCTAGTTTTACTGCATTGCACATTACCACATGAAATTCTAAAGCTGGTTTTAAAAAAAGCTTGGAAAACACATTTGCCTCATTTCGTTTCTTGCTAAATTTCCAGGTGATGCATGCTCCTTGTAACAAAAACTGTCCTAAGTAAGCCACCATAAAAAAAAAAAAAAAAAATTTAAATATTAAGTCAGAGTGTAGCATCTCCGGAGCACAGGGTGGTCAACAGTGGTGAGGTGATCCCTGAAGCCCTCAGGCAGCCCCGCAGAGCCATGTTCTGGGCTCCCAGCCCCAACTCCTGCTTGACCTTAGGCTGGGAAGCACTGCCTAAAGCCAGCCATTTAGGCTGAAATGTGCAAAAAAATCACTGATGCAAGTCTATGTGCTTGTACTTACACTGCGATGTCCCCAAATGGATTCTACGATCTTTGAGACCATGCTCTGAAGGTTTATAAAGGAGAAACACATTATGGCTAAGAAATGCAAGCATTTACCGTAGAAGTGTTTCTACCAAGAGAGAGCACACAGCACTTTTCATGATAAGGCTTTTAAGTGGATTCCAGGTCCAGTTTCTTTTGCTTTCCAGTAAAAGTATACAGAGTTTGCTGACTTCCTGACTAGTAGTGAATCAAATTTGACTCACTGGGTTTGAACAGATTGGGCTCGCTTAGATCTGAACAGTTTTTCGACTGTGGTTACCTATGATAGGCAGATTGATATACTACTTGCTGAAAACAAAGATGACTTAATGAACTTACTGATGAAATCAAGGACTGCTGCCTTCCGAATGGATTACATCTCAACATAAAGGAAACAAAATCCTTACACGGGATTGATAAGTAATATCACGTTAATCAGAGAAAGACTGAAGTTGTCAAGGATTCTTCCAGATCCAGTATCAACAGTCATGGGAAGTTGCATTCTAGAAAGCAAATAATGTATTGCACTGGGCAAATCTGCTGCAAAAGATCTCGTTAAAGTGTTAAACAGGATGAGTGTCACTCTGAGGACTAAGGCGCACCTGATTTAAGTCACAGACATTTCAATCGCCTCATATTCATGTGAAAGTTTCCATACAAATAATGAAGAAACCAAAATAAAAATGATGCCTTTGAATAATTGTGCTGTTGGTGAAGAATGCTGCATACATGGTTAAGAACAAATAAATCTAGCTTGAAGGCAGTGCAGTTAGGATACTACTTGGAGGTGATAATGGTGAGCTTTCTGCCTCATGAGTTTTAGGATTGTTATCAGGGGGTGCCCATCCCTGGAGAAGGAGAATAGGCCTGGGAAAGTAGGTCACTGAAAAATAGGCTCAACAAGATGCACCAACACAGTGGCTGCAACAATGGCTCAGGTACAGCAGCAAATGAGAGAACAGCATGTGTTTCCCTCTGTAGTACACAGATATCTACGATGTGGAACCAACTTAAAACTACCATATGGTGAACTCCAGTGTCATGAGAATCTGCACAACATGCTGTGTGACATTAAGCATTTCCATGGGCTTCTCCAGTAAACTGGTTATCAATTTAAAAAGTGCTTATGTGACGGGGGGAAGCACGGCACTTCTAACTAACCTTCAAGTGTTTAAGGATCAACTGTCTTACCACTCCTCATGAATTAAGTAAGCTCTTTTGTTGCTTGCCTCTAGGACTCCGACTGGCATAGTGGTTAAAATGGGAGGCAGCTAATCATGGGACTAGCAGTTTGATCCACCAGTTGATCTGAGGAAGAAAATGCGAAGTGGTCTGCTGCTGTAAAAATCAGTCTTGGAAACCCAGAGGGCAGCTCTGCGCTGTCCTGTAGGGCTGCTATGAGTTGGAAAGGACTGTTTTGGGTTTGGTGCCTTGCCATTCCTACAACATTTGGAGAACTAGCCAGCCTTAATTTCTTTGGTACAGAGTGGAGAGTAATTATGTGAGACATTCTCTGAAGGACAATCTGTTGTGGCTGTAAACATTTCAACATAGCACAGTGATCTTTCCTAAAGAGTAATAAAAACCCAATTATTTATGATGGAAATTATTTCTCCTATCTTTTTATTATTCACAGGTGATTCCTGCCTTACTGAATTAAGAGAACAATACTGTCTATACTCTTTCTTGAATCAACTGTTCTTAAAGAGCAAATTTTTCTTCTGTAAAAGGCCAGATAGCAAATATTTCTCACATATCTGTTATGATATATATACATATTTCTTCTTTCTTACAAACTTTAAAAATGTAATAAGCTATTCTTTAAACTTTCTGGCCTCATAAAAACACTCCATGGACACATCTGGCCTATAGGAGATAGACAGCCTGTGAATTTGCTCTGACCGAGGGAGCTCTGTTAGGGAGCACAAGTGCTTAACAATACCTGATATAATGCTGTCTAGACCTTAGAAGCCTCGTTTGGGGAAGTGTTTTGATGAGACAGTTGCAGGGATCCCCATGTGTAAAGCAGAGCTTCTCTGTATTTGTCTCTAATCCATCCGTGAAAGTTACAGAGCTGAAACAAACTGACACCTTTGATTTTGAAAGTGGCATTTATGTAGGAATTCTTAATGCAGCCTATTTAAATCTGTGATTACGCTGGTTTATTCTTGCTTTGATCTTAAAAATAAAATAACACACTGGCTACTTAAGATTTTTCGTTCTATAGACTAGATACTTATTAGTACACAGTGGTTGATGGTGGAAAAATGAGAGTGTAAACTAACCTCCTTTTCAACACGAATGCTCCTAGTCTATAGGGCAAACCTTCTCTTAGCACTCAAGAAGTATGGCAGCTCTCTCCATTTCTGAGGTATTTATAACATAGCGAATTGTGGATCTTGATGAAGAAGAATGTTAATCATGGACCAAGGTTTCAATAGTGGAGACCAATATTTCAGAAGTTGGATTGTTTCTAAGTCTGTATGAAATATTCCCGTGGTCCTTGGGACAAGATTCACGACATACTAATGTTGTAACACCTCACAGCTCCTCTAACCTTCTAGATATCTGAGATGCAAAGTACCAATATATTTTCATTGCTAGGTTATTAATTTGGAAGAATAAAAGAAAAATTTTCATAAACTTGAATTCTTTTAAGTCATTCTACCTGTTTTGCAGGATTAAGGGTTTCAATCTGAATTCTTTCTTCAGTGTCTTTATAAAAAGCAGCTGACAGATTTCAGCATATATATATAGTACCAACTACACCAGTTTAACTATTATGCAATTATGATACAGCAAGCACACACGCACACACAGACACACGCACGTAAAGAACACCTAAAACTGCATGTAACCCAAGCCAATCCAGTTGTCACTCCTAGGCTTCTGTTTAAAATGTCAAATCTGTTTTCTTCAAAACATGTTTATTTCATGCATTAAATTCAGATTCTTAGTCTGGGTTTACACTGTCACTGGCAACATAACCTCTACCAGAGCACTAATAAGGAGAATTTTATGGGTTCCACAAAGTAAAAACACTGAGACTCCTTTTAATGAAAGGAGAAAATGTCAACCTGGTGCTGGAATAAACTGACACAATGAAACAAGGAAAACGCTCTACTCAGAAATACTGAGGGGCCTTTAAGTGGGCAGCAGACATAGGTCCAGTAACATCTAAGCTGGTGAAAACATCATGGACTTTCCAATTCTTTCAAAACAAAGAGTTCTAATGTTGCCGAAAAATGAGACATAGAAAGAAATTACCTGTAGTCATGAAAACATGAATGATAGTGGAGCTTTTTCCAACTGCAACAAAATAGGAAATTCAGAAGGATCTGTTTTAAGCAAAAAAGCACTGCCTTTCTCATTCTGCTTCCTCAGTATTTTTATAAACACCCAGTATTTTTCACACACACCCACACACGCTCATGCATGGGTCACACTGCAGAGTCTTCAATACCAGTTTTTTAAAAGAACCAGCTCCTGGTATCTATATTGCTCTGTTTTTACTATGAACAGTTTTGGATTTTCCTAACTTCAAGGAAAACAAAAGCAACAGACCTGAACAATAAATAAAAATGCAACAACATCCTGTTTTAGGTGCACACTTTAGAAATGGGGAGGGGGAAGATGATGATTTCAGTTAAGATGCTGTCTTGTTTTATACCAGAGATAATGCTCTTCAGTCTTATGTCCACAGAGAGTTTTTATCTTTCATTTCTCCCAAAATCAAAGTGCATTTGGTTAAATGTTAACATACTTTACAGAAGAACCAAAAATCTCAGTAAATTTTGGCAGATATCCTTTTGCAGCAAAAAATCAAGTGAAATTCAGTTTTTTTTACTTTTTAAAAGTTGAATCCCTAAGAGTGGACTGTAGTATTTCTAGGAAGCAGGGCTTGAAAACAATGATTTTTTTTTGTTTTTGTTTCAAGAAGCCAACAAGGAAAGGAGAAAAGAAAATGAGAACAAAGACAAACCCTGAGGCAAAAATGGCTTTTCCTTTAGAGTCTTCCGGAGCTCGCTGACTCCCAGGCTCACAAGGTACCGGCAATCTTCTGAGGTGGAAGGCCTTCTTCCATCCAGAGAGTGGCAACCGAATTGTTGCGGGGCACCCGCCGGTGAATGCGTCGGAGCCGGAGCAAGTAGAGGAGGATGGACAGCAGGACCACCAAGAAGCAGCCAGAGAACAGGTAGTGATTGTAGACGAAGGAGAAGCCCCGCCAGTGCGTGTGGCTGGCCCGGAAGATCTCCTGCTGGATATCTCTGCCCGTGTGGAAACAAACAAACAAAACCAGACTCAGCGGGTCAGAGTTAACAGAAAGGAGAACTATCAGACAGTGTGAGAAATGGGCAGCACCAGGGTGAGAGGACCCCGCTCTGTCAACAGAAACACGCAACTACGACTCATGACTCCTTAACTCTAAGAAGTGGAATAATATGGTTGAAAATAAATATTACACAACATAACATGCAAAAATGCATTAAAATATTCCAGCTACTGTCATTCCAATTTAGGTAATAAAAGTAGAGGAATTTTAAGAACTATGAGTAAAGTTTTCATGGAAAATGGAATCAAACCATTTGATTGTGATCAGTAATATCTACTCTCATAATGTTTTCAAAGAGCTCAGTTAAAAGTACTCTTGGGAGATACACAATTAAATGGAGGGGAAAATAAAAAAGGAACCAAAAATCTTCCACAAAAATACTTCATTTATCAGTTAACCAGGGTTCTTAACATGGGCCAACAGATGGTCAATACATGAATGGAAAAGATGTTTATCTGTTTACTTTTAGCAATCTCTTACTAAAATAGTATTTCCTTCAATCATTAATGTAGATAACAAACTACTGAAGTACAAATAGGCCTGTCATTCTGTTACTTGTAAAAAATTAAAAAAAAAAAAATTCGAATATTATATTGTTGGTATGTGCCATCGAGTTGCCTACCACTCACAGCGACCCTATGCACAATCTCTCTGAACCCTATCCTATCCTGTGGTGTGTGCCATCGAGTTGCCTACCACTCACAGCGACCCTATGCACAATCTCTCTGAACCCTATCCTATCCTGAGCCAATCTCACTGTCTCTGACACAGCTGTCCCTATTGCCCCAGTCACTGTGTCAATCCATCTCTTTCAGGGTCTTCCTCTCACATGGACAGTGGTCCTTCTACTTTTTTAAGCATAATATCCTTCTCCAAGGACTGATCCCTGCTGGCAACATGCCCAGTGTATGAGAGATGGAGCTTCAAAATCCTTGCCTCCAGAAAGAAACTTGGTTTCACCCTCTCCAGGATAGACCTGTTCATTCTCTTGGAATCCATGGTATGTTCAACAATGTTCTCCTACGCCACAACAACTCAAAGGCATCAATATTCTTCTATCATGCTTATTCACTGACCAGCTCTCTGATGCATAGCAAGTAATTGTGAAGACCATAGCCTGGATCAGGCACACTTTAGTCTCTAGACTGACATTGTTGTTTTTCAGTACTCTGGAGAGGTCCCTGACAGCAGACTGTCTTAATGCAATTCATCTTCTGATTTCCTGATTTCCTGACTGCTGGTTCCAAGAGTGTTGTAGACCCGAGCAAACTGAAATTGCTGACCATTTCAATCTCTTCTCCATCTATCATGGTGCTGCCAAGTGGCCCAGTGGTGAGAATCTTCATCTTTTTGATGTTGAGCTTCAATCTATATTGAGGACTGCAGTCCTTAATTTTCTGCAGCAGATGCTTCAGTTCCTCCTCTGTTACAGCAAACAAGGTTGTACCATCTGCATAATTCAAGTTATTGTTGAGTCTTCTTCCAATTCTGATGCCCAAATTCCTCCTCATAAATACCAGCCTCTCGAACTATTGAAGAGATATAGAGATAGGACTCATCCCTGACACACTCCTTTCCTGATTTTGAACCAAATACCTCTTGGTCCAAGTATAGGTTTCACACAACACTTTTATATATGTGTACATGTAATATTAAATATTAAAATGTTGAATGTCTAAAAATATCACCAATACTCACTGCTATATTGAAACAACAGAAATTACTATTTGAGGAGTTTTACAGGCCACAGTGTGTCCTAACTGTGGAAAGTATCTTTTCTGATTCACATTGCAAATCCACAGCCCTACCTTAAAGGTAAAAAGCGTGTTCTGTAAAGGATTGCTCCGAGGGTCCACTGAACCTCCTTGTCATACACTTGCAAGGCAGTCTTTAAATTTTTATAATTGACAGGAAATGAAAATCCTCTATGAAACACCTCGAACATCCAGGCAGATTTGAAGCACTGATACCTACAAATAGAAAATCAGACTAGTGAGAACCTGAAAACATACACAAAGACATCTTCCACTCTGCACCAACACTCTGCTAAAAACTGTATTAGGCAGCTCTCTGACAAACCAAGCCAACTGGATGCATTTCCAATGGGTTTAAGTGCTTATGTCCCTGGTCCTACAACATGAAACAGCTCACCTGTCATATCAATTAGACCATAAAACATGTCCCTATATTATTTAATATGATGCCATGACAGTTCCCCTACCTCAGGCAGTCCATCATTTATCTACCAAATAATGAGTTAAGTTATAATCTCTCTAGACCTCAGTTTATCTAGAAAAAAATTATAAAAAAGGGTAAGACTTCTTTCAACTTTCTTATTTTACATATTTACAAGAAGCTTACTTTTTACAAAGTATTGTGCTAAGCGAGTAATAAGATATAATAACTAAAATGATAGTCACTGCTCTTTAATCATAAATGTTTGTAATGAGTGATAAAAGAGGGTGTCTGGAAAGTAAAAAATAGCTATATAATAAAGCGGAATGTGATAAATGCCACTGGTGGTATAACTGGTGGGAGGGAAACTCAAAGCATCAGAGATGGAGTCTAGTGGAGAGGGAAGGGAAAGATCTGACATTGACGCTTGGCGAAGACTTTAACACACAAAGATATGAACAAAGAGATTTCAGGTGAACAAACAGCAAAATTAAGCAAGAAAATGTAGGATATATCTGAGAAAAAGTGTGTGCCCTGTATGAAAGGAAACATGGGCAGATGAATGGGAAGAGAATGATGTGGATAAAGAGGCAGATGGGGCAGGAGTGTGACAAGCCAGTGGGTCCATGCTGAATTACTGGCTTCTCTGAAACACTCTGACTTACTTTAGCCTATGGAGGTCAGCATGAGAGGCATAGAGTCCTCGGTCAAAGCGTTCCCGCAAGATCGACCACTTTGTTGCACAATAATCCTGGAAGAAATTTCATCCAAGACAAAATATTAGTGAAGATTGTTTATGGAAACTTTTTTCCATTTTAAAAAAGCTTTGGCAAAGTCCTATTGATAACAAGCATATCCTAGAAGCAAACAAGCTTAACTTAAACACATAACAGAGAAACAAGGCACAGAGTCAGTCAGACTGCCAAATCTATGGTTGGAAAAAATTTAGTTTCTCTCTGAATGAGTGCAGGTTTGAGGTATAACATTTTGGAAAAGAGAAACAATATTGTAACTAGTTTAAACTGAGTACCCTCTCCCTGTGCTAACATGGCACAAGGTGCTGGCAATAGAAAATCCTTACCTTTCTCTTTAAGAGAAAGTGGTACCAACTTTTCCTAAAGTTATTCAATTACAATTATCTTAATAGCTAACATTCACTGAGCACTGTATATCTGAATGTGTGTTTTTCATGAATTTAACACTTAAAATGAGACAGGAAATTTTCCCTATATAAGCTGTATTTAAAGGGGGATGAACTGGAGGCTTGGAAGGATAACAGGGCTGATCTGAGGTATGCACTAAGGGGACAGCACTTAGCCTGAAGTGAGAGAGTGACGATGGTATTTCATGAAGAGGAAACATCATAAACAAAGACAGAGATGAAAAACAGGATGAGACACTACTACGTGTTTGACAGGACTGGGGTATAAAATGCTAGGAGGCAACAGAGGCTGGAGAGGCAGGTTTTATGTGGAAACCTATTTTTAATTTTACTTTTATATTTTATTGTGTACATGATGGACAGTGTTTGGTGGAGCCTCCCAATTAAAAGAAGCCTGGAAGCAGGAGTGGCATCCACTTCCAAAATGGCTTGCCTCCAGAAACTCTATGAACAGTGCTCAGGCATTTCATTCATAGGGTCGCTATGAGTTGTCTACAACTCAATAGCACCTACCAACAACAACAACAACAACAACATGTATTTAGAATTTCCCGTGGAAGCAACAGGAAGCTGCTAAAGACTTTAAATAGGAGAACAAACTGATGATATATGTGTTTCAGACTAAACAATCTGGACGCAATGTGGAAGAGGAACGGAGAGAAGACTAACTGCAGAAGGACCACTAGGAGGCTCCCATGCAGCCAGAGTAGTTCACATTGGACTAGGGTGATGAGAGGACAGAAAGTAGAGAGTGTCTAAAAAAGATTTGTGAAACAAGCTATCATGCTTGATGACTGCTGATAAGTGGGTTAGGGAAGGCTGAATGAGTAAAAGGGAGAAATCTGTAACTCCAAGGCTTTGGATAAGGGGATTTATAGTTGGTAACGTCTTTAATGGAATCAGCACAAGAGAAACAGAGTGGGGAGAACATGGTGTTTGAATCATGAAATCTTGCAGGCAGATGAGCAGAGGCCAAGGCTGGAGCCTTATCCTGAGAAGCAGCCGCTAACCATGAGTGTGGACGAGGCCATTCAAGAACCTGAAGCTCACATGTGGAACTCTGGAATCCCCAAAGTTCCAGGGAAATAAAGAGGGGACACTCTCAAAAGACCGAGAGGAAATTGTCAGGAAGGTGGGTAAGGGGAAAAAAGAGTAAGAGTATCCTGGAAGCTAAGGGATAGGAAGGCCTGAGGAATTATTTCCAGATGCAGCAGTAAAGAACACTAATGCTGCCACTGGAAGTCCTTGGTAACTATGGAAGTTAATGGAGCGATGGGAAGAAATCGGCTTTTAGTGGATATTAGATTTCTCTATTTCCCCTCCCTTAACTAAAGGGAACAGGATTCTCAGTATGTGCTACAAACACCTTTCCCTCCTCTAGATGAAGGCTTCCAGATGTGAAGGGAGGATATAACTCCCTATCACTTTCTAAAACACATGCAGGAAAAGACGGTGTCTTTGAAGGTTACCTTTGCAGCTTTAGTAAATTTAGCAGCATTGTAGTCTCCTCCCATTCGTAACACATCCTCAGTGCAATAGTAGAATTCAGAAAAGCCATAGAATTCACTGTTCTGGAAGTGAATTGGAGGCTGGTAGATCCCATTGAGGGAAGTCTGTGTCTCGTTAGTTTTATTCATGAAAGGCTGGATAGTTTCTCGACACAGGTCAAAGTCTCCTGTTCCCCGAAGGTACATGGTCTGTCCATTTTGTTGGATTTCATCCTTGATGTCTAGCGGTAAGCAGGGATCCAGGAATGGAGCGTCAGGAGTTAGACCAGTCTGTTTACCCAGAAGCCTAAAGGGGAAACAGAAACTTTTATCATGAGATTTCCTTTTCAGAGATATGGTTACAGCTTAACGTTTCTCAGCGTGTTCTGTACAATATGAGTCCCATAGGATGTTCTGTGGGGTAATAAATCAGTTCCAGGATCAATTAAGTTAGGAAAGTACATACTTGATCTCCTCTTGGAGATACATAGTGTGAGCTTACAGCAGACCCATTTGCGCTGCTAACTCGAAGGCTCGGTGTCGAGCGGTTCAAACACACTAGCCGCTTCCTGGGAGAAAGATGGTCAGTATCCTGTTGCAATTAAAAGCCTCAGAAATCCCATAGAGGGTTGTAGTAAGTCAGAACCAACTCTAGGAGTTTTTCTGTCAAATAACCTGCCAGACAACCAGAAGCTCTCCATTCTTTCTGTAGTCTAAAGACCACGTTGATGGTCATGGTCGGTTCTGTGTTCGGGGTGAGGGGCCTCCTCTCTACGGTCACACACTCATGCAGCCTAATGCTGACCAATGGTGCTGCTCCCAAGCCCATTTTTGCCATTAGTGCTTGCTACTTTAATTATACATAAATCAATGAAATGTGACCCTGAAAAGATGGTAATTGATCCACGAAAACAAGAGCAGATGCTTTAGAAAACTATTAAGTTAGGAGTGGGCAAGATAAAAAAAAAAAAAACCATGAAAAAAGATGGGAAAAATCTAGGACTTGTTATTAAATTACTTCATAAGTATCTCAGGGTGTTTAAATACTTTAAATGACTGGATGCAGTACAAGCAAGGTCAATGACGTCACTGTGTATGGTCGAGTTGTAACCGACTTATAACTGACCCTCCTGCATGTTTTCAGAAGCAGCAAATTGCATGAGAGGAGATTGTAGATTTGAACCTCATGCCTGTTGGCAGTGCAGCCCCTTGCACCAGGCCACCAGAGCTCCCTAAGGGAAACGATAGAGATCTATAATCAATGGATGTGTCCTAAGGAAAAACCCTAAGTTCACTGCAAAAAAAAGGCAAATAAATGTTTATTTTAAGTTAAAGTACTTTAAAGATTTGAGACTATTTTTATGATCTGTTCTGATTTTGTTTTTAATCAGTCAACTACTGATCCCAATTATAGCAGGTAGCAGAATTTCTATTGATCCAGGCTCTGGTGAAGTCCTGTAGGAAAGAAATCTTAAGAGAGTCTATATTTCTAGGAATTAACAGGTGTCATCCTACCACACGTTCTCATTTAAGCAATGGCCAAACAGAAACGAGCTTATGATAAACTACAGTTATGCTAGTGTGTACCAGCATGAAATCACACAGGGTCAAAAGGCTTTCTCAGGAGAACATGTGACATCAATATTTAGGTACAGATAACACATCACATTTTCATTCTCCATTTCTCTGACAAGTTATGTTTTCCTAAGATGAGGGCAACTCAAAATTCTCTTGAATATCATAAACTAAGGTCTCTGTCATCAACATTATTTTAAAAAACACAACACCTGAACACCACTACCAATGACAAAGCATGAATAAGCATGAATTTCAAGGCTTAATTTATGATTCACCAAAGAAAAAGTGGTAAGTAACATAATTAATAACAAAGCCTAGGTCTAGTCAAATGCATACTTCATGCATCTGGTTGGCCTGCACCTAAATGAAGAAGTTATTACTGAATTGTTAACAGTGTGTAAAAATTGACATAAAAATAGATGAATAAAAATTAGAACTCCACAGGAGCTCAGTGATTCCACAAAAATTTGATTCAAATTGTCACTTATATTTCTATTTTAAAACTATCATAATAGCTATCTCCCAAGTGTGAGAGATATATATAAATAAAACAAACACTTTTGGAACAGACACAGGAAAAGGTTTTCATTGCTTTTTCTCATTCTATATGCCCCTTTCTTCCTTGATGCTGCCGGTGGATATGAACTGCCAGAGAAGTGTAGCCTTTTGGCTTGGGGTGCAACTCAGTAAGGACTAGGCCACCAAAGCCACCCTGTTGAGTAGTAGAAGGTGCTTTACCTATTCTTTTGAACCGTGTTGGCAAATATTCTGTCTTCGTATCGCTGTCGAGCAGCATTGCCACCAAATCCGAGAAATGTGGCCACATAGACCCTGTATACATGTTCAGTTTGGTGAACATCACATCCCAAGTTAAATTCAGCTAATAAGTTTTTGGCTATTTCCTCCTGCAGATATAAGGATAACAAACTTTAGTATCTGAAGCAACACAAAACACTTTCTGAATGTCTCTTTAGAAAGAATCTAAAAAAGGTTTATCTGAGGCAAAAACTTTTTGCCTCTACGTTTTTAAAACTCTTTCTATGCATCCTTCATAATTCGGTGTGACAATCTTGACCAGAAAATATAGATGCACATTTGTAATACTGTTACGATTCTGTGTAAAAGTTCATACCCTTTGAAAATCTTAGTACATCTATTTATAAATCTTCCTGAATAATTGAGGACCAACTGGAAATGACCCTAAACATAGAAAAGTCTCTATACACAAAATATTCATTACAGTTCTGTAACAGAAAAAACAGGTTGTCATCTGAGTACAACAAGGTGTCTTCTATCCAAGGCCAACCAGCCTACTACGAAACTTAGAGGCAGTGACTGCGAGCACACTTGGTTGACTATGATGTATCGATAGTTTAGATCATGTAAGGAAGTCAGAATATTGGAACATGCTCATGTACTGTTAGAGAAAACAAAACTGCACAGAGAATATGATTATAACTATATTTTAAAACCTGTAAACTGCTAACAAGTTGCTAACAATGGTTGTATTTAGATAGTGAGCCCACAGAAAACTTTTTTTAATCTTGATTTTGGTATTTTTCCAAGCTTCCTTCATATGTATGCCTATTTTGTGTGTGTGTGTGTGTGTGTGTGTATGTATCCCAAACACATTATACATATATTATGCAAAAATGAGAAGATTGACTTTTTATAAAAATAGTTTCTAAAGGCACATTTGAATAGAAAATAGGAAAGACAACTTGAAAAACTTGAATTTACAAATCCTTTTTCCCCCTCATGGAGCTGAAAACATTTACCGACCATGCTAATAAATGTATTCATTAACAAATATGAGGTGCCTAGCAGTGCGCATATACAGTAGGTACACTGTTCTATATATCCCTTATCATGTTCTAAGTATGTTGTAAGTATTGTTATTCATATTTATAGAGGAATAAAGCAGTTCATCTCTTTATAATAACTTGCACAACGGCAGAGAACTAGTAAGGCAGAAAATGATGATGATGATGATGACATATCATTAAGCCTGATGATAAACTCAGGCTTGTACAGCTCCACAGCCTCCCTTTTAACCACTACAATATGCTGCATCCCTACCTTCTAGAAGAAATACAGGAAACCTGGCTTTGGTATTAATTGACAGCTGAATAATGAGGACATACTCAGTGTTACATCAGAAAAACACAAGCCCAGGTTTCCATGCTGGTGTCCTCTGTACAAGGCCATCCAGCCCACGGAAAGCACAGGAGGAAATGGAGAAGAGAGAGCATAAACTGTAAGTTGAGAAATGCAGGAGTACCAGCTACAAACCTCAATCCTTTCAAACACGTTAAAAGCTGTCTGCACCATTAAAACAGAACATTTTCCCAATTATACCTTAAGAAACGGAATGTTATTTTACAATACCTGCTGAGAAGAGAAGTGATTGAAGAAGAGAGAGAAAAAAAAAAAGGAAAATTCAAGTGTGTTACTGACAAAAATATCAAAGAAAATCTTGAAGTTCAGAAAACAAATCAGCTGAGTTCAATGAACACACACAAGCGGCTTAGCTGAGGTTTGCTTTGATTTCCTCCTGTCTCCTTTCTCCTGGGGCGAGAAGGTGTCACCTCAGCAAGCACAGTAAAGATGTTGTCAGACTCAGAAAACAAAACAAAAATGGATGGAGACATGTTAAATGAAAACCAAACCAAACGGAAGGAAATTTGTACAGATAATAACCTGCTGTGAGGAGGCAAAGCTTACAGTTTTGGGGACTTCGTATGCGATCTGAGTCGACACGCCTCCCATGTCGAGAATACCCGCTGTTCTCTTGCGGATAATGGCTTCACTGCTTTCACTACCGGGAATGTTAACCTCCACAACTGCTTCATCATCTGCAAAGAACAAGAAACATTCATCCGAACAGAGCAACTGGGATGGTTTGAAGAGCCATCTTGTTTTCGTGGGAGATTTCAAGACTATTGAGGCAAACTCAATCTCCTCCTTTCACCAGAACCCAGTGTAACTGCAAGAGCAGCTTTCCTCCCACATGTTTAGCAGTGTCAGACTTTAACTTCTATTTTAATCCTTTGGATTAAGCAGGAAAAACTTAGATTTCCGGTTAAATACATTAGTTAGAAACATAATACTTACCATCTTCAATATGTTCAAATCGTCCGAGGACAAAATTAATGCCAATCCAAGCATACACACCTACAGACATTTCATAGGGTAAAAGAAAATGAAAGTTTAAAATCTTTTCCTATTACTCTTATTAATGCAGACTGTGTAAACATACCATTTATCCTCTGACATCATCAGAAAGAAAGTATTTTTATCACTGTATTTAAGCTGATTATGTGGCTGCTGACCACTCTTAACTGTTGGGGGTTAGAATCCACCAGCTGCTTTGAGGGAGAAAGATGGGTCCTGTGTTCTGTAAAGATTACAGCCCTGGGAAGCCTACTCTAGGAAGTCCTACACTACCCTAAGGGCTGCCATGAATGAGGATCTACTCGATGGCAATGGGTGACATAATGGTAAGAGTGCCTGGCTCCTCGAAGGCTGGTGGAGGTTCAAAGCCACCACCATTCATTCCACAGGAGACAGCTATACAGTCTGCTTCCGTAGAGAGTAACTCAGGGAACCTGATGGGAGAGCTCTACCCTGTCACAGGGTTGCTATGAATGAGTAGGAAGCAACTTTACAGCCATGAGTTTGGGGTTGGTATAATTCTTTTTTAATAGTTTTCAAAAAACTTTAACGTTTTATCATAAGAGTATGGAATGAGGGTTGCAGAGTGGATTATATTTGGGGTGGGGGTGGGGGATGTGCGGGGGGGGGGGAGATTGTGTACCATTGAAGGAGTTTTTCTTTTGCTTTTCAAGGAGAGGAGCAAATGGCGGAGGGGGGGGGAGGGAGTGGGGAGAAAAGTGCAACAATGAATGAATGGAATTCCAAAATCTCTGCAGATGTTCATTGAAATTTATAAAATATAGAAAAAAACAAAAAAATTAAAAAATGAAAAAACAACAACAAACACCCCTTTAACATTTATGTTGTTGTTGTTAAGTGCCATAGTAATTGGAAATACAGCACCCTAGGAGTCGGTTCTCTTCTCTAGTTTACGGGTTGTTTTGAACCAGAGCTTTTACTTTTTACAATGTTAAACCTATCAAATGCAAAGTTTTAGAACTCAAGTAATTTTTGATTCTTTATTCGCCTTTATGCTAACATTCATCCATTTGACAAATGTGAATGACTCTACATTTCCTATGCCCAGTCACTACCCAATTCCATTGCCAACTTGATTTAAACAGTCTATTTAATCCATCTCCCCGCCCTTATTTCACTTCAACCCATTCTATACTCGGCTAATGAATTAACAGAGAGGATCAAGTCCAAACTCTTTAGACCGACCACTCAAGATCATCTGGATCTGACCTTCACCTGCTATGTTCTGGCATGCTCCAATAGTGTCACCTGAGGTATAATGCAAATGTAACTTTCTCCAGGCTGTTCCTACTTGAAGAGAAAAAACTCCCTCTTGATATTTTTCCCTATATTCCTTACAGTACTTAAAACTTAACCTTTTTCTTTTTTTTTAAATTTTCATTCATCGTTGCACTTTTCTCCCTGTCCACCCCTCCCCCCAGTTAGCTTTTCTTTTTGAAAAGTTAAAGGAAAAAATTCTTTAATTGTTATTCAATTCCTCCACCCCTCCCCCCAGTTAGCTTTTCTTTTTGAAAAGTTAAAGGAAAAAATTCTTTAATTGTTATTCAATTCCTCTCCCCAAGTCCACTCCACTATGCTACCTTTGTTCTGGACTCCTGCCATAACAATAATATCTAATCATATATCCCTTTTAAACAGTTCTCTCCCTCATCCATTTCAACACAGTATCCCATCTTTCTCAGTCCTCTCCCCCAAACCCCTATGTCAGTCCCCTTTTATAACAGTGGCATTATACAGTATTTGTTCTCAATCACAAAGAGACAAACTTAACCTTCTTTAGTAGCTAACTGTGTATTTCACTCATCTGTAAACAGCTCTGTGGTAGTATCTTTTATTTCTCCCAATTTTGTATTTTCATCTTAACAATTCTGCAGGGTCACTATGAGTTGGAGTCCACTTGACAGCAGGGACTCGTGTTTTGGACACAGCCTTTTACGTAATAGGTAATGGCTAAAATGATAAATGATTTTGAAAGACATTCTCTCTGGCCTCTATTTCCAGTAAGCTATTGTCGGGTGCATTCAATAGGGAGTTGGGCTGCTAATCCAAAGGCTACGTGTGCTTCTCTGGCAGTCTGAATGCCCCAGCAGGTCTGAGGGAGAAAGACAGGGAATCTCCTCCCTTGCAATTTGTAGCCTCTGAAAACCCAGCTCCAAGATGTTCCCACTCAGTGGCATTGGTCATCATCACCTTCACCATCATTCCCTACGTAATTTCAGTGATTTGTCATTTCGTTTTCAAGAAGAATTAACTCTTTAAAAACTGAACTAATATTTTCTCATTGTATGAAAGAATAATTTTCCCTTCTTAGCATTAAATCAGCAGAAAGGTAGAAAAGATCAATAATTATCATAATTTCAGAAAACTGTATAATGTGGCAAAAAACATAATTATGGTCCATTACAATGAGTTTCAAATATGCATTCTGAATGTGACAAGGACAATTTAAAAAAAAACTAGTGAAAAGGTATACAACAAAGCATCAGTTCAATAATTTCCACATCCGTAACTCAGCAACACTGATTACATTCTTCATGTTGTACCACCATTCTTGCTATCTTTTCCCAAATTATTCTACCACCATTAACGTAAACCTAACGTTCCCACGTAAAAAACTTGTCCTTTTCTTAGAAACTATTTTTCACAGGGCTCCAATGTTTAGCTAATAAACTATTTGTATAAGAAACTAATTTAGTAATTTAAAAATAAAATTATTGCAAGGCTATGTTTTCCAAATTTAAGAGTAACTTAACAGAGTTGTACACTGAGGAAAATAGAAAGAATGCTTTAAGTGCTCAATTTTAAATTAAGTTGATATTGGGAGTTGAAGGTCAATATACCAACCTTCTTGCTTCCCTGAAATGACTTCTGCATGGGAGTCAGAAAACAGGAAGTCAAAGTGCACAGGGATGTCAGTCAGAAGGTCTTCCAGGATGGCTTTTTGTTGACTGGAAGGCAACCCAAAAGTTTACAAGTCAGAATATTGTTATCTTGAACGTGTCTGTTTTAAACAGTAAAAAACAAAAACTAAGAAAAACCAAAATGGCGCGGAGAAGGGGGAATTACTACAGCTCTATTACTTCCTAGGTGAAATAATTTTAAACCAAAAGAATTTATTGAAAACACTGTGCCTCTGAGGTAAGAATTTCCAGCATGAGCAAACTCATGAATTATATAATTGCTAGAACAAATAGGCCTGTTCTGGAGGGGGTGAAATCCAAGGATTTTGAGCCTGTCTCACACGCTTTGGGCACGTGGCCAGGAGGGACCAGTCCTTGGAGAGGGGCAGCACGCTTGGAAGTGTGGAGGGACAGCCCAGGAGAGGAAGAGGATTGACTCAGTGACTGGAGCGATGGGATTAGGTCTGTCGGAGACGATGAGATTGGCACAGGACACGGCATTTCATAGGGTCGCTATGAGTCACAGGCACTCACAGGATTGCTATGATGGCCCATAACAACAACAACAACAACAGAACAGAAACCTTAGGCAGCAAAGATGGCTACGTTCAAATCCACCCAGAACACCTCAGCTGACAGACGTGGTGATCTTCCAAAGGTTGCAGCCTTGAAAATCTGATGGAGCAGTTCTACCATGTGCACGAGTTGGAATTGACTTAACAAAAACTGGTTAGGAAATAAAACTACATATCACATAAAGCTTTTAATTCATGAAATAGATTGGGGGGTTTCAAGTGGCAACTTCAAAATCGTTTACTCTTTGTTGTCATTAGGTCCAGTCGACAATGACTCACAGCATCTCTACTGAACAACAGATGGGAACCTTGCCCTATAAACAAATACACTGATAGACGTTTCACGGATTCTAGCAAAAGGAGAATCTCAGCTGTTAATCTAGATTTGAAGAAAGAATTGATGATTTCCCCCTTTTCAAAGAGAGGTTCAAATGAAGAAGTGGTGCAGAGGCGTCATGCACAGATCACCTTTCAGGAAGGATCCTCATCCCGGCTGTGCAGAGGATGTAGAGAGGCGTCTCCTTGTGTTTGGCCCGTGGCACATGCTCTGCAGCAAAGTTTAAGAGTGGAGAAATGTAATCACTGACCTTCTCTGGAAAGGTAGCAAATTCTGAAATGCCTAGAGAAAAAGAACACCTTGATTAACAAGTAGATCTTTGGTGTGGCTCATCTGAGAGAAACACTGTGTCCTATATTCCTCTGGCTTTGCCTATGTCCTCTGGTAACTATTTCCAAACTATTTAATCTTAAATGTCAGAAATATGAAGTGTTCAGGGCTTGCTTCTTTTTACACCTTAAGAAACAAAGGACTGATTGAGCATCTAACACTTGGGATTAACTGCAACTAAGATCATCTTGGATTCAAGAAACCCAATCCCAATTTCCTAAGGCAACTCACTCTCAAGATTGCCAACACCAGCTTTGCTGCTGATTTCCAATTACCAGCAACCAGATCTCTTCTCTAATTTCCAGATTATACAGTAACTGTCTACTTAATAACACCATGTCATCTTGTGTGCCATTGAATCTGAACCAACTCACAGTTGGTTGAAAACCCTCCAGTGGGTTTTCAGAGGCAGTTAACTGCATGGGAGGAGACTGCCCACCCTTCTCTGCGTGCCTTAATATCACAGTTGCCTTCATAGGGAGTTCTGGTGGCCTACTGGTAAGAAGGTATGCTGCAATCCCAAAAGCAGGTGATTTGAATCCACCAGCTCCTCCGTGGGAGAAAGATGAGTAATCCGGCCCTGTGTGACTTACTGCCTCTGAAAATCTACTGTAAGATCAGCTATGAGTAGGTTCTACCTCAAAGTACACAACAACAAGCTAAAGTAAACAAAACTAATGCTCTTTCCTGTAACATTGTTTTAAAAAGAGGTTTTCCCTCTTAACCTGTAGAAGAACTGGCAAGCTTCCTTTTAAAAAAATGAAGCCTGTAGATGTTGTTTGCCCTTCTACTCTGCAATCTGTGGCTAAGAATTATTCCTTATTGGTACACAGTAGGGCCAAGCTATCTTGACAGAATGACAAACTGGGTCACTAAGCCCAGGACACAACTACCAGGCCCAAATGCCTAGGTAAAAGAACATACAGTAAAAATGTCTTACTCTACTGTCCTACCCATGCCCTGCAGACAAATAAAACTTCTCACTTTCTACTGTCCTGTTCCTCTCCCAAAAAGCCCTGCTGTCTCCATGAAAGGAAGACAGATTCGGGAAGTTCATACAACTTGTCTCCTTATGTTGTTGTTGTTATGTGCCGTAGAGTTGTCTGAGACTCCTAGTGACCCTATGTACGACAGCCCTAAACCCTGCCCTATCTCTTGTCAATCTAACCGTCTCCGACATGCCTATCCCCATTACCCCAGTGACTGAATCAATCCATCTCATAGAGTGTCTTCCTCTCCTGCACCGTCCCTCCACCCTCCCAAGCATGACGGCCCTCTCCAAGGTCTGGTCCTCCTTGCAACATGTCCAAAGTATGTCAGATGAAGTTTCAGAATTCTTGCCTCCAAGGAGCAGCCTGACTTCACCATCTCCAGTATGAACTTGTTTGTTCTCCTAGCAGTCCATGGTATATTCAATACTCTTCTCCAGCACCAAAGTTCAAAGGCATCAATTCTTCATCTATCATCCCTAGTCACTGTCCAGCTCTCTGAAACATAGCAAGTAATGGCAAAAACCATGGCCTGTATCAGGCACATCTTCGTCTCCCAGACTGACATCATTGTTTATCGGTACCTTGGAGAGGTCTCTCACAGCAGACTTTCCCAATGCAATTAGTCTTTTAATTTCCTGACTGCTGGTACCAAGAATGTTGACTCTAGAGCCAAGGAAACTAAAGCTGTTAGCAATCTCAATCTCGTCACCATCTATCATGATGCTGCTAATCAGTCCAGTGGTAAGAATCTTTGTTTTCTTGATGTTGGGCTTCAATCCATATTAAAGGCTGCAATCCTTGACCTTTTGCAGCAAGTGTCCTTCTCAGTTTCAGCAAGCAGGGTTGTGTCATCTGCATAACGCAAGTTGTTGATAAATCTATTTTCAATAATCCTGATGCCACACTTCTCCTCATGGAGTCCAGCCTCCCAGTATAATCTGTTCTGCATATAGACTGAAAAGATATGGAGATAGGACAGATCCTTGATGCACACCTTTTCCAATTTTGAACCATGCAGTATTTCCTTGCTCTGTTCTGACGACTATCTCCTGGTCCAAGTATAAGTCTCGCGTGTCTCCTTATATACTAGAATATATTAAAACTTCTGCTTCTAATATATACTAGTATATAACAATCCAACCCACCTCCAAGATTTTTTCAGTGGCAGAACCATGATTTTTCCTGGTACTGTTATCATTTTCCTAAAATCTTCTGCACATTACCACTCTCTGCCAGTCTGTTACCCTCCAGTCTTATCATCGCCCCACAATTCCCTTCCTACATTGCACCTTGTCCTGGTTTAACATTCTCTCAGGGCTCCTCTCAGTGTCTTCCAAATAGAGCTCAATTCCTTAGGTCAGTATACCCACTCCACCTTTTCTCTTCTTATACTTTCAATGATGCTGAACTAACATTTCTGTCATGCAGTGCACTCTGGCCTTGGTGCCTCTGCATCTCCTTCAGGAAAAGGCTGCTCTCTCCCTCCTCATTTCCTTTCACCTGGCTAACTCTTATTCATCTTCTGGGCTATTTCCTCAATGGAAGTCTTCATTAACAAAAATCTGAAGATTAGTTACATACCTCTCCTAAGCACTTTCATTATATTCCATCCTAACTCTTAAGTATAAGCAAACACTTCTTAAACCATACCTAAATTGCCTATTTGCTTGCTTGTCTCATAACCAACAATTTCTTGAAGGCAACCAACTTGTGTCTTTTTCAAATTTATATCCCTAGAACTGAGCACAGTATCTTGCAGATGTTTCTTGTTAAGTAAGTATATAAATGAATGGATATTTCCAAAAGTTAAAAACTTTCCTATTTCAGAAGCTAATAAATTATTATTCAGAACAATTACATTATTTTCATTAGCAGAAATGGACACATATACATTTATTTCAATGGATACTGAGGTCGACACTAGATTGAGCTTATTCAGCAAAGAAATTACTAGAATCTTACTACAATGTTATGCATGAGCTTCTAGGCAAAGAAATACTATAAGATATTTTAAGTTGCACTTCTAACATTTCCTAGTTTCAAACATTCTGTTCAGTGTGATTTTAATGAGATTTTGGTATACATGCTGGAAGGCTTTTGTTCTAAAACAGCCAATTTCAGGGCATGATAGTTTTCATCTTGTTCCACCAGGGCAGGTTAATCACTAATGGTGCCTGCTCTGTGAACTCAGATGAAATGCAAGTGGTGAGCACTTTCTGACCACTTCATGGAATGCTTGATAGATTTTTGGTGATTTTTAAATGTCATCAATACTTTTTTTAAAAAATATTATTTTATTATTTTTTTTGTGTACACCATCAAATCATATCTGACTGGTACAGGAGGAGATTGCCACTCCTTCTCCAGCAGAGTATCTGGTGGATTTGAACTGAATACCTCTGAGATTGCAGTGCAGCTTCTTGCCACTAGGCCACCAGAAGTCCCCTCATCAATACTTTTTAATCTTAAAAATGTTTTCGATTAGAAACGTCAAAATCTAAGAAATAGGAAAATTAGTTTTATAAGGTTCGTTAGGAGTTGAAAAGACATTCACTAAGACTTATAAAAAAACCCTAATCATAATTCATGGAAATGTACTCCAGTGTAAAAATGCCTGCACAGAGAGTGACACAGATTATGTTCACTCATTCGAATCCGAAATATGAGTGAACCCCAAAATCAAATCCACTGCCATGGAGCAGATTCCGGCTCACAGCAACTCTGCAGGACAGAGCAGAGCCGCCTCCACACAGTTCCACAAGTGTCATCATTATGAAGGTGGACTGCTAAGTCTTCCACCTGGGAAGTGGCTGGCAGGTTCCAGCTACTGATCTGTTTGCAAACAAGTGAAATCAGAAATTTTTAATTTCTTGAGTAATATGCAGGTGCTACCTGCTCAGATACCAAAACCCAATCAACTTCTTGAAGGCTTCGTGAAGAAGATAGTGGATCTTTGAATTAACCAGCTGCTCTGTGGCAGAGGAATGGTCAGTCTCCTCCCATTTGATTAACTGCCTCTGAAAATCCACCAGACCGTCAGCTATGGGTCGGTTCTGACTACGGTACAAAATAACAACAAGAACAATGAGAAATCAACTAAAGTAGAGGAGTAGATTAGGTATCTTAGGAGGATAGGTGTTTTAACATGTGAAAACTGAGTATTCTTGTATTTACATTTAGGATATGAGGAAAGATAGCTATGATAACCATTACTTATCAATAGTCTTTAATTATTTGGGGGTTTTTCCCCTTTTAATATTTTTTTTTTAAGATAAATTCCTGAAATTGAGGAAAAAGAAAACCAAGTAAGTAAAATTACAGAACATGGTAACCAAGCAGATATTTATCAGTTACATACCGGGTTTTATTTTCATAACCACTGGCTTTCGGTTTTTATCCCTCATTTGTCTAATATCCAAAAGATCATGAGGATTGCCATTATGCCTTGGCCAGCAATAGACAAATATCCGAGACCCACTGCTACCACAGTCCACCACGATGCCATAGTTCACATTAGGGTTATTGGTGTCTGTTGCTTCGATGTCAGTAACTCGTGCCAAGTACCTTATTTAAAAAAAGAAATGTATTTATTTAGACGGAGACTTATTACCCCACATACAACAATGAAGATGCAATAAACAAATGCCATGTAAGTGATTTATAAGCTGTGTGACAGTAGCACCAATAAAGTATTTCTTACAACTATCAAATGATTAAAAACTTAAAATAAGTGATGGATGGAGAGGAGACTGAAACTGTCAACAGCTTCATCTTGCTTGGATCCACAATTAAGACTTCTGGAATGAGCAGTCAGCAACTAAGGAGATGCACTGCACTGGGAAAACCTGCAGTTAGGAACCTTTCCATTATTGAGTACTGATGTCAGTTTGAGGACTAAGGTGTGTCTGATTCAGGGCAGAGTCTTTCTGATTACTAGCTATGCATCTGCGAGCTGGACAATGAGTAACGGTGACAGAAAGAGAATTGACACCTTTGAGCTATGGTGTTGAAGAGCACTGAATATCCCATGTATGGCCAAGAGAACTAACAGGTATGTCTTGGAGAGGGTGCAGCCAGAGTGCTCTTTGGAGGCAAGAATGATGAGGCTTCACCTTACATACTCTGAACATGCTGCTATGAGGTACTATTCCTTGGAAAGGGACAGGATGTTGGGAAGGGAGGGTTCAGGGTTAGCAAAGGAGGGGAAGACCCTCAACTGGACAGAGTGACACAGTGACTGCTGCAATGGGCTCTTCTGTGTCAGGAGGTATAAGGATGGCACAGGACAGAACTGTGTTCAGATTTTTTTGTTCATATGGTCGCTATTCGTCGACTCAACGGCACCTAACAACAATAAGTGATGGTGATAAAGATCATGTCAATCAAATATACATTCAATCTTATCTTAAAGAAGGTCAAGCAAGTTCTAAAAGACAAAACTGTATTTCCAAACTATCAATAATAATTAAAAAAAAATCAGCCTAAACACTATGTTTAAATCATTATTGCAGGGCCTTTTTGTGCTGCGTATTTGGTGACTAGCAGTGAACAAGTACCAGGCAATTTACTTTTTCACATTGTTTTGTACTTACTACTGACTGTAGTTCTTACAGTCACACCTTCCTTAAATTCCAGCCTAATCCCAAACCTCTTAAAGTCTTGAATCCAAGGCATGGTAGAAATATTTTTTTTTAACCTCTTACCTCTGAAACTTCTTATCTCTGGATAACCGTCCATACTTATTTCGGATTATGACAACAGAAAAGTATAGAAGTGAAACAGTCACAGCTAGGATGCTGATGACAATAATTTGGCGTAAATTAGCATTCAAGATTCGAAGACACCCGACTGGAGAGATGCTAAAATGCCAGGAAGCAGGGAAAAGGCAGGAGATGCCAATCCTGAAAACAAAACAAAATCCTAATCAAAATAAAATTATTTTATAGCAATCTTCTCCAAAAGGCCCCCTTACAGAAAATGACTCTATAGTAATGTATTTAGTTGAGCTATCCTCCTTTCTCTGCTTGCAGGCATCAGAAGTTAGTATATTCCATACTGCTATAGAATCCATTATTATGAAATTATATAAGAATTAAGCCCTGATGGTTTATCATTTTTAAATATTCCTGCATCCACAGCCCCCTAGCCCCTCACTTTTCTTTCTGGGAGCATTAAGCAGAATTTTAAAACCTGTATCCTTGGCTGGAAGAAATGAGCCCTGGTGGTGCAGTGCTGTTTAACCAAAGGTTGGTAGTTTGAATCCACCAGCTTCTGCATAGAACATACACAATCTCTTCCTCTAACAATTTATAGCCCTGGAAAGCCAATGGGGAGGATCACTGTGAAGCAGCATCAACTTACTGGCAGTGAAGACTTTGTTTTTTTGTTTTGCTTTTAAAAAAGAATCAGAAATAGTTTATAATTTCAGTAAGATAAAGTGATAATGAAAATAGGATGATGAAACTAAGAGGAAATTTATCACAGAAATACATATGATAAGGTATGCTTGGATATTTAACTGAGCTTCTAATCACTAAAACATTATCCATTAGATGAAAAACTTATTAACAGCTCAGTAAGAACAAGATTTTCTTAACAGTGAATTTCTAAGGTACATTTTGGCCAAAGGATTTAACAAAGAAAATAGTATGTTTAACAACAACCCTATAACAATGGCAATAAATGAGTTTTATAATCTCATGGTTTTGTAACAATTCTTATGAGACATGTTTGCAAATAAATGAGAGCTTTCCTCTCAGCTTACTGAGGCATGAACAGCTCTTCCTGAAATTCATAGGCTAAAAGCAAAACAACAAACATTGCTTTTATGATGCATTTTATTGTGTAACAGTTCAATTTTACATTCTTCTCTTTAATGAGTGCTTTGTGGACTGAAATATGTCTCACTCAAGAAGGTATCCTAACCCAAAGAAATTTCCAACTTGTGGTTTCTACTTGGTTCTCAGAACACTCCATAAAATTCATCAGGCCATCTCAGACTTACTGTCATCACATATAACCTTCTCTCACATGCCTTTACTGTCAACTGCATTAATCCAGTATAATACACTTCACATTTCATTTTCTTTCTGTTACAGGTACTTCCACTGGGTCTTGTAAGAATAAAACGGGTTACTCGAGGTTTACATTTTTTGCTTCCCCTCAAGGTTTTTCTTCTGCAAACTACTGATTCGGGCTTCAGATTTTTCTTTCCTCTGGAGATCTGTGTCGCGGCTCCAAAATCTCAGGCTTTACCCTGTTAGTGATTAGGCGCCATCACTTACCTCCCCATACTGACAGGCCAGAATCAGGCAATGTTCTCACACGCAATTACAGACACAACAGGGTCTTCTTCACAGAGTTTCAGTTGTCCTGTTCCAGGAAGTGAGAAAAATCACAAAAATAAAACCACTGAAAAAATGCCTATGTTCTTTATCAGATGCTTGTTTAAGCCCAATGACACCTAGTCTAGAATATAATCCTTGCACTGAAATTGTTGATGCTACCTATGCAGGCCTAAATCAAGAGGAGATGGTAACAGCTGGGCACTGTTAGTGCTGTCTACATAAAAAAACTCTGTCTAAAAGGCCATCAAGTCGGCCTTACATATTTTTGATAAGGATTTTATTTTCTATTGGTTTGCTTACAAAGTTTGTTCACATTGTGTTTCACGCTATGCTTCATTCACACTGTGTTTTACGCTATGCTTCATTCACACTGTGTTTTGTATAGTCATTCCCATTCATTATGTTTTAGAAAATTAATCAACACTGAACTATGCCCACTCTTACCCTGTCTTTCTAGATCCCCGCTGGATCTTTTCCATTTCCTTTACCCAGCCCTTCCTCCACCACCAAATTGTGTGACCCTATCATTTTCCCCCTGCTCATCCTACTCTTATGCTCCTACTCTCTACCCCTTAGATCTCTTGATCCAAATGTCAGACCAAAATTCACCTGTGTGTTGGGGTCAATTTGACTTACAGTGACCTTCCATTGGGTTTCCAAAGCTTTAGGTCTTTATGGGAGGACACTGGCGTCTTTCTGCCAGTAGAACAGCTGATGGATATGAACCACTTACCTTTTCGTTAGCAGTGTAACATGTAATACACTACGCCATCAGAGCTCCCTGAATACAAACAACCAACCAACCACACTCCCTGTATAAACCAGAAACTAGGGAACTGTGTCTAAGTCTTACCTCCCTTTCCACCTTCAAGATCCTCTCATTTCTTTGCCCCCAGTTTATGAAAATCTGTCCCTTTTTTTTATGACTCTATTCTGGGGTCAGGTTCTTCTCTCTCAATTTCGTATCTAGTTCATCCTAACAGCAGTCTACTGAGTCCGCTAAAGTGATCACAGACCCTGCCCGCTATGGTCCATAATAATGACAATATGGCACCAAAATCCTCCACTGGCTTCTGTCTCACTTAAAATAAAAGCCAAAGTTCTGTTGTGCACATGATCAAGGTCACTGTGAGTCAGAGCCGACTGGACAACAGAGACCTCCAGGACTGGCCACCACTCTGCTCTCATCTGCCACTGCTCTCTCTCTCGCTCCACCTCAGTCACACTCACATTCTCACTGTCTTCAAACATACAGGGTACTCTCCAAATGTGCCACTCTGTTTGGAAAGAAAACATATGGTACTTTATCATTTCAGTCAATGTCATAAACTACATTCACCACATTGTACCATCATCATTGTTTCCAAATCTTTTCATCACCCTTAACTGAAACAGTATCTCTTAAGCAATGCTTCCTCTTTTCCCCTTTCACTCCTCCCAGTAACTACAGTTTTGCCATATCTACTCTAGATTTTCACAAAAGTGAGATCACAAGGTATTTGTCATTAGCATGTATTAGAACCCTTCTGCCTCAACAATACTCCATTTCATATTCCATATTTTGTTTCTCTATTCATTGATAATAACTCTAGGGAGTTACAATCTTTTCCTACAAACTCCTATGGCTTTCCACATTTTCCAGGTATAAAAGAGTTATCATTATTACTTGGGTTCATGTGATTCTCAATTTTAATTCTCAATCTCAATCAAATCTCTTCTGTCAATATATTCACTAAGTTCTGGTAATACTTTTGCAAATAGTCAGCCTGCCTAAAACGATGACAGCAAACATCACTGCTTCAAGACAGCTCTCTGGGTAGATCTGGGTACCTTATACCTTCACTGTGAACACCATTAATTTCTTTCTGAAAACACTGCCTTCAAAATACAACCAAGAAGTTTAATAATATTCCTAAAGATTATGAGTCAACTTTGCTGCATGGCACCTAAACTTTTCATCAATAGATCCCACACGGTGTCACTAATCTCTTCTCCACTGCCTGGCAACATCCACTCCGCTGTGATGAGCCTCTGCTTTGATGAGCGTTCTCTTTCTTCTCTCCCCAAAAAACAAGTTGTTCCCATTCTTGCCTCAGGCCTTTACTAATGCTACGTCCTCTTAACTAGTTTGTCCTGCTCTTAATATTCCACTGTCTTTCAAGGAACAGATCTTTGTCACACTATGAATTTTCTCCCTGTGTGTGATTACTTGAAATAAACCAACTAAATAAAGATTTGTTGCTGTGCTGTTACGTACCAGTATAACACAACAGTCAGAAGGGTCTGAGAGCTGGCCCTCCTCCAGTGAGTTTTCAGAGGCAGTAAATCACATGGGAAGAGACTGCCCATCTCTTTCCATGGAGCAGCTCATGATTCCAAACCATGTGTCTTTGCAATGGCAGCACAGCTCCTTACCACTAGGCCACCGGAGCACAAATAAAGATTTAGAGACAATAAATCCCTAGATCAATTTGTTTTCCTCTTACTTTTAGACTATGTACTCAAAGACTAAGTACTCAGTGTTAGAGCTAGATGATGTTAAGATACAAATTCTACATGCAATGGAAACAGTAGCAAATCAGTCCTTAAGCATAGAAATAAGCACTTATCTTTTTAGAAAAACACTATTTTACAATTCTAATATGTCAACAAGAATTAGCAAACCTTACATTAAGACAGGGAGCTCTGGTAGCTTAATGGTAAGCAACTGTACTACCAATCCAAGAACACACAGCTTGAATCCACTATCTACTCCACGGCAGAAAGATGAGCAATCTCCTCTCATGATTTACTGCCTTTGAAAATCTACTAGAGAGTCAGCTATGGCAACAACATAATAAGACAATAACAAGCATAAAATAACCCAAAGAACATTATTTTCTTAAGTCATGGCAAATTACTGAAAAATACCAATTATCATATTAAGTAAAATTTTGCTTAAGATAATTAAAAAGCAACTATAACAATACGCTGACAGAGAACCAAAAGAAACTAAAGCTTGTTTCAAAAGAAGATGGAGAATAAGGAATATCTGTCACGTATCCATCTATGTTAGATGGATCTTCGCTAAAAGAATACCAGAAAGATGTGAAAAGGCATTTAACTGTTTGGGTCATCACAAATGAAGGATAATATTTTGAAGAATTAGAATTCCAGAATATTTATCTGTGTTCACGTGGAACCTGTACATATAGACCAAGAGGCAATCATTAACACAGAACAAGGGGATACTCTTAGGCTTAAAATCAGGAAGGATGTTTATCAGGGTTGCGTTCTCTCATTAAAATCGTTCAATCTGTATGCTACACAAATAATCAAAAACCTAGACTACATGAAGAAGAATACAGCATCAAGATTAGAGGAAGACTCGTTAACAAGCTGTAATGTACAGATAACATAATTTTGCTTGTGGAAAGCAAAGAGTACTTGAAGTACATCAGTGAGTTTATGATAAAAATCAAAGACTACAACCTTCAGTATGTGTTACACCATAACATAAAGAAAACAAAAATCCTCATAACCATTATTACAAAAATAAAAGATTGCCAGGGATTTCATTTTCCTTGGATCCACAATTAACACTTATGAAAGCAGCAGTCAATAAATAAAATTAAATTACGCAGTGGGAAAATGTTGCTTAAAAAAACCTCTTTAAAGTTTAAAAGTAAAGACATTACTTTTTTTTGTCTTTTTTTTAAATTTTATTTTTTTAAATATTTTTTTTATTGGGAAAAACATATTGGGGTTACAAGGAGGTGAGGGTTGAGGGCAGAAGGGTGAGGATGGGCCAGGATGCAGTTGCAGAGCTGCACAGTTTGGTTGGTGGGGGGAGCAGGTGAAGGAAATGATGAGGGTCCAGTGGGGACCAGATGCTACAGAGGAATGACAAGCATTTTCCAATAGTAATTAAGCTAACTGTCATATTGATTTGGGAATTGGATGCCGACTCTCTGGCTTCTTCATGCTGAACAGGGGCGTAGATATAAAGGGGGGAAGGCAGGACGCTTTATCACCTTACTGGTGGTCTTGGGTTACAGCTGCTTGCCTTCTTGCTCCTGAGGGCCGCGACGGTTCGCCCCGAGCCGGGGGCCGAGGGCAGCTTGCCCCGGGCAGAGGGCCACGACGGCTCGCCCCGGGCAGGGGGCCGAGGGCAGCCTGCCCTGGGCAGGGGGCCATGACGGCTCACCCCGGGCAGAGGGCTGAGGGCAGCCCGCCCCGGGCAGAGGGCCGCGAAGGCTGAAGTAGTCTTTTAAAAAAGAAGAAGAAAAAGTGTGTGTGTGTGTACCGTCAAATTGGATCTGACTGGTACAGGAGACTGCCCCTCATTCTCCAGCAGAGCATGAAGTAGAGTCTGGGATCCCCCCCCCCCAGGTGCCTGTCGGGGCCTGGGTTTCAGCTGTCCACACCACAGCAGTGGGCAACGAGCTTAAAGCCCCTGATGGCTCTGGGCGCTGACTCTCACCAGTGGCTATGGATGAAGTCACAGGCAAGACATTACTTTTAAGACTAAGGTATTATGTGACAATTCTCTTAAGTATGTAAAATGAAAGATGGAGAAAAGATTGAAGGATTTCATTTCGCTTGGATCCATAATCAATACCTTTCCTCAACACCCATGGTAGCAATAGTCAAATCAAAAGACCTGTTGCACTGGGAATATGTGCTGTCAAAGACCTCTCCAAAAGAACTAAAGAGCAAGATTATCAGCTTAAAGACTAAAGTGTGTGCCTGACCCAAGACGTGCTATTTTCAATTGCTTCCTATGCATCTGAAAGTTGGTCATAAAGATGGCCAAAATATTAGATGCCTTTGAATTGTGATGCTGGCAAAGACTGCCCAAAAGAACAAGCAAATCTGTCTTGGAGGAAGTGCAACAATAGTAGTCCTCAGAGGCCAGGAGGGTAAAACTTTGTGTCACAAACACAGGGCATGTTGTCAAGAAAGG